GTAGTCGTAGTAGTAGTCGTAGGAGTAGTAGTAGTGGTAGTAGTAGTAGTAGCAGCAGCAGTAGTAGTAGTAGTAGAAGTAGTAGTCGTCGTCGTCGTAGTCGTAGTCGTCGTCGTCGTCGTAGCATCAGCAGTAGCGGCATCAGTGATGTGATGGTTACGCCGCGGCACCAGAGTGGCAGTGCCAGTAGAAGCGGTTGCTGTGGTAGCAGAAGTAATGGAAGGAAGCAGCAGCAGCAGCAGCAGCAGCAGTAGCAGCAGTAGTGGTCGCCGTCGTCGACCTCGTAGTAGTCGAAGGCGGAGAAAGCGAGGGACCAGAAATTCCACTTTTGCTTTACTACTTGTTTTTTCTTCTTCTTCTTTTTGCTGCTGGTGGTTGCATACTCGTGCACACGGCTATGTCAGCAAGTCTGTGGCACCCACGCTGCGCAGCGCCACACGCGGCGCTCAGGACCTTGTCTCAATCAGTGATCATTCATACTGATAAACTCTTCTGAGCCCTTCTCTCGCATAGGTGACCCGAAGACAAAAGTAACCCTGACGATGCAGGTGGGAACATGCTGCAGTGGCCCTGAAGCCCTGAGTCCAGTGCTACGTGGCTGCAAGCTCACCTGCAAAGAGTACACTGAGGCTTGGCCGGTGGGGGATGTCTCTGTAAAGGCCCAGCGCTCACCCTTTTGAACCCCCTTGACCCCGAGCCATGGTCCGATCTTGCAACTCGCCGGGCCGACGCGCCCATCACCCGCGACTCCGCGGAAAATTGCTCCTCCTCCTGCAAGCAATTTCTCGCACTTCCCTCAGACCGAAGCGACCCACGATTATGGGTCGAGACATTGAACATCCCACGCTCGGCATGTCAGTTTGCGCAAGAACAGCACTTTTAAGTCTTACAGTACAGAAAGACAAGCTACGCGCACAGGCTGTGACATGTGTTTCAAACATGGGCTTCCACCATTGCCCGGCTGGAAAGGCAAAGACAAAGGTGAGGCCCTCGAGTCTCAAATGCTCCGACACGGGCACAGTCAGAAATTAAGTAAACGAGCATGCTTGAATAGATGGATTATACTCCCAGCTCGCAAGCCGTCTCACTGTCTGAGTGCATCCTTCCTTCCAGCTTGGGCTTGACAAGTCAGGATGCTGCAAACTCTGCTAGCCACGCAAAGACCGCACCGCACCTTCTTGACATCAAGCTCCTCCTCCTCATCATCATCCTGGCACTGAACAAGCTCGATTCGAGGCGTTACCATAAGGCTTTGAAAGACTACTAGCATTACTAGCAAGGAAGCTGACAATGACTCGAGGCTTTGGAGTGACGGATTTCCCAATGACGCTGCAGGCTTCTGTTTCGGCAAGAATCCACCCCCTGCGGCACCTGAGCTTCTCCAGATTCGCTCATACGGCGTTCGAATTTCTGCACACGGATCACGGTCCCTCAGCAGCATCTTGTAAACGTGCGAGCGGAGCAGCAGGCGACAGAAACAAGACGAGCGTGGTACTGCGGAATTCAATTCATCAGCTCTGACTGTAGAAGCATGAACACAGCTTCGGCTGAGCCTATACTGTAGTCCTGACAATGATGGAGATCCGAAGCCGAAAGCAAAAAAAGGGGCGTGAAGCGGCTGAGGCCCCGGCCACAGACCTGCTGCTCGGCGCCCTGGGCAAGGATCACCTCCGCTTCTTCCATGCGGCTCCTGGCAGCGAAGCTCCTCATTCGCCACTTTGTCGGCAAAAGTCCCCCCCAGCATGGACAACAGGTCGGCCCAACATCACGACGAATCCCAAACCAGACCTCAGCCCACAGGGCTCCTAGCATGGTAGCTGCTGGTAGCTGCTGCTAGCGCTGGCATGAACGCAGCATTGCCCTTCTGAGCCAATGGCGGCCGGAGTCTCGAAACCATCCCAGCTTGTCCCCCACCAGACCTTCGTAACAATTTGTTTAACCCGTCGCATGTAGGTACTCCTCCTCGCAGTACTCGCGTCTACTGCTATTTACTACCTTCACCACGATGACAATCGCTGCTGATGCTGCTGCCACCTCTCGGTGATGCGTTGGCATGCTGTTTGCAACTGTTTCTTTGCACCCGCGATGTTTCCTTGCTTGCTGGGACATAGAGCTGAACTGGTTCGTGTGACATATCGGAATCGTATCGAATGTATCGATGCAACTTGTTCGTGACAGTTCCGTTGTGCCCCCGATGTTTTCGATTCTTTTGGATGAAGCAGGACTTGTGCACCACTGGCTGCCAAACACACCGGAGATTGTCCGCGACAGGTCCGTTACGACGACACTGCTGGCAGCACTCCAGCGCAACTCTTCCAGAGGAAGTAGATAGCACAGTTTCGTGACAGTTGCGTTGCGCCCACGATGTTTCCAGTTGCTGGCGATGTAGAGAAAGTTTTCCTTGCGCACACATGGTTCCAATTGTCCGCAAGCAGCGCGAATTGTTGACGAAAGCTTCGTTGCACCAGCGACGTGTCAAATTTCTTCAGATGCAAACACGAGGTCTGAACATCTTCATTTGAGGCGGATCTTTTTCATGAACGTTTCGTGAAGCCCACGATGCTTCCAGGTCTTTCACTTTCACAGAACTTTTTTCGCGACAGTCTAGTTGCTCCCGCGATACGTCCAGTTTTTCAGATGCAGCCGTGCTTTTTCGTGGCAGTTCCGCTGTTGCCCATGATGTCACAGTCGTTTCGGATGCAGTGACACTTTTTGTGACATTTGCCTTGAACTCTCGATGTTTCCAAAGAGCCGAACCAATTTTGTGATGTTTCCTCAAGCCCACGATGCTTCAACAACCTTCAGCGGCAGCTTAAGTTTTCTTCATGACGGCTCCCGTTGCTCCCAAGATTTTTTTGAGTTTTCAGATGCAGCAGGACTGGTCAGCCTGCATGCACATGCTTCCATGCTTCCAGGTTTCCGGATGAGGCCAAACCTGTTTTACGACATCGACCTTGCACCCATGATGCTTTTAGTTTAACAGATGCAGCGACTGCGTCACGGTGTCGTTGCGCCCACGGTGCATCTGCATTGAAACTGAGACGAAATCAATCGTGGCAGCTTTGCTTCGCCCACGATATTTTCCCTTGTTTCAGATGCTTGTAATAACGATGACGATTATAATGAGACGATGACGATGCTGCTACTGTCTTGGCGACTGCTGCTCTGTCATGAGCTGTCCGTTGACGATTGCTTGACTTTTTTCGTCTGCAGCGCTTCTTCTACGTCCGATCCCTCTGCTACAGTATAGCCGTAGTATAGCCATGGCCTGAGTTCTTGCCTCACCATGCAGCTAGTACCGGAGACTGCCACTTCTACCCTCACGCCTACCACGCCGATGACCATGACGACTCAGCCTTTGCTTTGCCATTGTTGCTCTGCTGCTACCTATGTCCCGACGACTATCCCTTTTTGCTTGACCTGTGGCACCCGAGGACCGCAGACTTGAATCTGAAGCTGCAGTCCTTACCTCATGCATCCCTTCGCTGTGGACACTGTCGGGAAAGTGGAGCACCTAAACAGCGCCTAACGGCCTAACATCGATACAGGGCGATGCTGCCGGTAGCGACTAATTGCAGGGCACAAGTGGAGCTGCACAGCTTCGCAGTCACAAGTTGACTTTCCGACATGTCTTTCTGCGCCTAGATTCCTGACGGTAAGAGCAGAGCTTCACCCGCGAGTGCGCCACGAGCACCTTCTCGACGGTTCCATACCTGGGCCCATGCGACAGCCGAAGCCTTTCAAAGCCCTGAAAGCTCCCGCTACTTGGGTAGGTTGCGCGCCATGAGAAATGCTCCTTCAGAGTTGTGGGCGATGAGAAGCCAAGACCTTGCCAGGAGGCAGGCTTTGCTGCTGCGATGCAGAGAAGGTCACAGAAGGTCAGGGTTTCGTGAGGTTTGGGCGGTTGATCTTCCGCACGATCAGGACGCGGTTCGAGTCCACCTGGACCGAAAGGAGCTGGAGCTTGGCAAAGGCCGCTTCGCTGTGGCCGAGGCCGCTAGGGCCGCTAGGCTGAGGCGGGTGCGTGCAGCAAAGAACGCAGATGCATACCTTCTGCCCGTTTCAACCGCCCCCGGAATCACACCACGTGCTTCGGCAATCCCATGATGACTGTGCTGATCACAGAGACCTCTCGGAGACTCGGTGACCCGATGGCGCACGCAATGTCTCACCCGAGTGATTTGCATCCGGCGAAACACCTGCCACAACTCTTGCAGTTCACGTTGCTCCGTTGAATTTGCTCGGTTCGAGCGATGCTGCTCGCTTTCTTGCTGCGCTTCTTCAATAGAAGGCTTGCCGAAAAGCTTCCCGCAGGCCTGAGGCTTCTGCGGTCTGCCGCTTCTTGGGGCCTCCACCTCTCAGAGTCTTCTTAGAGCCCACAAGGAGGGGGGAAAATCCCCCCTTGCTGCAGGGTCTGAGCTACTTCTAAGGCACTTGCCTTTGCGTCCTTGTGCTTCTGCAGGGCTACCTCGCAAATAGCTCGCAAGCTCAGAACTTGAAGAAGACTCCGACTCGATCAGCCTGCCGCACCGTCCCTCCAAGTCTTCGCAGTGGATCCTGCACAGTCTGACCCACAAGCAAGAGCATGCCACGATTCTGCAAGACACCGTCCTTTGCAAGCTGCCGCCATCGGGGCCATTGGCATTTGTTGTCCTGCCTGCAGGTGTCCAACTAAAGCAGGGGCTTCTGTAGCCTGCGACTCCCGCAACGACTGCATCCACCCACCTGTAACAGGATAATGCATGCCGACCAATGCTTCACTGAACGGAAAGCGCTAGTTGCACGTCTTCAAAGCGTTCCGAACACCTCCAAATTTTATGCAACCCCTTTGCAACACTTTGGTGGGTTCATGCCTGAAGCGAGGGACTGAGGGAACCCTCGTGAGACTACGTAGTTGAGGGCGGAACCATGGCCGCTGCCCAGTTCGGAGCACCTTGCAAAGAACAACACTGTAAACTTGTTGCTGTGGACCAGCGTTCTGCGTGGAAAGCTTGAACAGCTTCGATCTATGCAGAGACAGCATTCTTCGAAGCGATTGTTGGCCGGCCGGCCTGCCAATGGGCTTCCAGTCAGGCCCTTGGAATACGAGGAAAGAGCAACTGCGACCAACGCATCGAGCTGGCTCTGCGGCCCCTGCTGCAAGGTTCGCCGGGAGGGAAGGCATGCCCATGCCTTCACAGACCAGCTGGATGAATACATTTAGCAACGGTCAGGCCCCTTCGCCCTGTGACCCTGGTGGACAAGCCGTTTCAAAGCTCTGGAGGCTTCTGATGGGGGAGCTTGCGATTGGTCAAGCTACAATGTACACAGCAAGAAAGGAATCTCAAAAGCCCTTGCGGCGCTTACAGTTGCTCTAAGAAAAGCCACGACACTGCCTGCAGCTGTTGCGAGCATGGCCTGCTGACGGGAGTCCTCGCGAGGCTTCGGGAGCTTGGGTCTCCGAAATGGCCGAAATGGGGATTTCACACGGGGCCAACGGGTTTAGGGAGCGATTTTCTCCGCTGCATCTGCGAGACTTCGTGCCCCTTCGACGCCGCACCGCTCGACAAGATCACCCGCTCCTTCCTGAGGAGAAGACAGCTTCCGCATTAGCTCCCGACTCTAAGAGTGCCATGTCCTACGCGCGGGGAGGCTGCAGGCCACGTGCAAGGCATTCTTTGGCCGGGCCGGAGCTTGCAAGAGCCACTTCCCCACAAATCACCGCTGGCTTTTGAGAGTTCTTCCGGAAATGACAGGGGGAGTGTCTGTTGCTTTGCTTTGACCACTTCGAAGTTGGGCCGCCGGGTCCAGCGAAACGGCCAACCTACCTGCAATGTGGTCAGATTGCCCATGGAAGAGCCGCGTGCCTTACCCGGCACATCTAGTAAAGCTGAGGTCGATGTGTCGACTAAGTTGCATGCAAGCTCGCACAGACGCATGACCGTCGGCTCTCACAGATGCGCGCCGAAGGTGACGCCGTTCTGGCACAGGGGAAGAAGGCACGGCGCTTGCTCGACTGCAACACTGGGTCAGCGCTCCAAGATTTTTATGAGAAGCTGGAGGTGGACAGGCGATCACGACACCGCCTTGACCATCTCGGAGAAGTAGGCGCGAGCAGCCTTGACAATCCAGACAGTTATGTCTATAGATGTGAACATGTAGGTGCACGCACACACACATATATATATACATACATGTACATACACTATACACACACGTGTGCGTGTGTACAGACAGACGCACGTACATACACTAGCACATACAAACACACACAGAGAGATACACACGTACATGCATACATACATACATACATACATACATACATACATACGTACCAGTGCATACATGCATCTGTCCGTCCGTTCGTACGTCCATCCATGCATCCATCCATCCGTCCATTCATACATCCATGCGTGCATGCATGCACATGAACACATGCACATAATGAATGTACTCCTATTATACATGAATATTCTGTGTGTGGGTGTGTATATATATATATGGTACCCTCCCAAGACCTACTTCCAAAGCCTATTTACATCAAATTGCCCTGCACTATAAGCGATTCTGCCTACTCTGTACATATGTTTACATACACTTGCGCATCTTAGTGCACCTTACTATGTTTGGCTATACGCGTGAGCATGTCTTGTGTTTGTTAGCAAATAGCAGCATTGAAACCGGCATTGAAAAATTGAACTTCAATGCAGCCAGCCCCGTGGAACCAAGAACCAAGATGTCCAGGACTCTTGATTCTTGGATCTTGGTTCCTCTGGCCGGGGTGCATGATGGCATTGAACTGAAGTTCAATGTTTCAATGCAGGTCTCAGTGCAGCCAGACTTCTGGAACCAAGAACCAAGATTCAAGAATTCCTGGGCATCTTGGTTCCTGGTTCCTGGGGCCCGTGCCCATTGAAGTTCAGTTTTTCAATCCAGATCTCAATGCAAACTAATCCTCGGACCCAAGATTCAAAATTCAAGAATCGTGGACATCTTGGTTCTTGGTTCCACGCGTCTAGTTGCATTGAAGTTCAATTTTCAATGCTGGTTACAATGCGGACAGGCCGAAGCTTGTCTAATAAGGGATACAGACAGAGAACAGAACCCCTTATAACATACCCCCTACACGCCCTGTACATACCTTATTGAACACCTTCTACATAACCTTGTGGAATCAACCTGTAGAATGCCTGTTTAGACTACTTTATAGAGTATCTTTAATTCCACCGATATACCCTTATAGAATACAATGTGTGATATATACCCTGTAGAATACCTTATAGAAGACCATGAAACATCCTGTATACTTCATGTATGCCATATGAAATACTTATACAATAACTTATAGTATACTGTTAGAATCCCTTATAGAATAGCATCAAAAATGCCTTATAGCAGGGATTCTTTAAATATGGAAAACCAGTCGGAGCCCGAGATCTGAGAAGTGCCCAGTTGAATCGCAGCTTCTGGGTGCGGAATTCCTATGAAGAAGATCAGAAAACCAAGAGGAATATCCCTACAACTACCTTATAGAATACCCCTTCTATACACTTTGAAGAATTCCATATAGAATACAGTATAAAACACCCTCCTAAATATGATTACAGACTACCTTCTGTACAAGACCTTATGGAGTGCCCTATAGAATACCTTATAGAACTCCCTATACAATACCATCTCGAATATCCCGCAGTCGAATACCTTACAGAAGACCGCCTATGTAAGATATCCTCTCTATACCTCAAATATACCTCATAGACTATCCCCTCTAGAATACCTTTTGGGATACCATTTAGAATAGCTTATAGAATACCCTATCAGTATACCTACGCGTGGCATCAGTGTGAGAAATGATGTGCAATACTTGCTATCTTTATCTTGATTCGAACGCTGTTGTCGTCGTAAACAGGGAATACTAGGCAATACCTAGCATCTTTATCTTGGCTTGAACGGTGTTGACTCATCGCAGACAGGGTCTACTGGGCAATACGGTGTTGTGTCGCCGTAGACAGTGAATATTCGGCGATACTTAGCATGTCTTTCTTGGTTTGAGCGTTTGCGGGACACAAGACGTTTGTCCGGAGTGGAGTCGCAACGTAGTCTAGAAAGTACAATAGGAGGCTTCGAGGTAGGTCTCGGAGGGGCTGAGGGAGTAGCATGAATATATATATATATATGCATATATCTATCTATATACATATATATGTCCATAAAGATGCATGAGAAAATATAGGTAAATACAGCATCAGAGGCGAGGGCAGGTAGATCGTTTGGAAATGGATAGGGTGTCTGTCCAATCGATCAACTCATGTCTCTTTAAACGGCAGTGAGTCGTCAATGTCCACTAGACCTAGTTAGCTGCGCTGTCAAGACTTCAGAGGCACGCGAGTGGAGAGCAGCACTCAGATCGCCAGGCACAACATCAAACTCTCTCTGCATAATGTAGAACGTAGCAGATGTCCTAGGACCGTGCATGCGAGTCCGTGAGACGAGAACTGTAGTAGCAAAACCCATCTCAAGGTCCAGGCCCAAAGGTTCACGGCTGTGGCCGCAGAGGTGATCGTAAGGTCAGACACCACCACCATGATCTGCAGAACAGCAAGGGGACATGCCATGCGTGAGGCACACAGATCGATTCGTAACTAAGCTGAGAAGTCACGACACTCTTCATCAGGCCATAGTTCGTTCGCACACTGCGACTGTGTCCCAGGCATAGCTGTGCGAGAGGAACGGCTCGATAGTGGCTCGGAATTTGCCATTCTTCACCTGCAAGTTGCAGAAAGATGTGCAGAACCCCCAGCCCAGAGCGGTGTCCCGCTCTCACAAATTGCGTCGGCCCTTCTGCTTGCTTATGCAACCAATCGGAAGCGTGCCAGAAGCCTGGGGTATCTACCGAGGGTGTCTCATGAGGGACAGTTGCAACCCCACTTCTCGCGACGGTACACAAGATCCCAGAGCATCTGCCTCGAAGTTGCGGAAATTGGTCTTCGCTTTTTGGCAGCTGAGCTTAAACCTGGCAGGTGTCCGAAGAAGCCGCCAGGCTCGTCCCTCAAGCACTTTGTCTCCCTTTTTTTCTGAAGCCGGCTGCATGCATGTGAGTGTGTATCTGTATGTACCGACATATCGTGTGGCTATGTCTAATCTCATGCTGACCATCGCCCGTCACGACTGCCTTCCTCCACAAATACAATACGATTAGCACCCTCAGTCATGCATCCGTCGCTTCGCTTCTCGCCGCCCACTCGCTTCACGCACACAGATAGACGTACACAGCCACAAAATGTGTCGTACAGGCATTACGCACTCTCTCTCTCTAGCTCTAGCTCTAGCTCTAGCTCTAGCTCTAGCTCTAGCTCTAGCTCTAGCTCTAGCTCTAGCTCTCTGTCTCTGTCTCTGTCTCTGTCTCTGTCTCTGTCTCTGTCTCTGTCTCTGTCTCT